AAACATCACTAAAATAGGTTTTTATCATCTCAAGAACATCTCCATAGTCTGCCCCATTCTCTCTCGGGCCAATACGGAGACGCTGATGCTTGCATTTATCACCAGTAGAATTGACTACTACAAAAGAGTACTTCAGGTCTACAACTTTTACAAAACTCAGCAGCACGTGTCCTGACGAAGACCAGGAAGCGGGAGCACATCACTCCGGTTTTAGAATCACTGCGTTGGCTCCTCGTATGTTTCAGGATCGATTTTAAGATACTTTTATTGGTTTTTAAGTGTCTTAATGGTATTTGCCCATCTTATCTCTCACAGCTGTTTTTACCATATGAACCCTCGCGGTCCCTGCGCTCCTCTGGTATCCGTCTCCTCATCATTCCTAAAGTCCAGACTCACACTCACGGCGAGGCATCTTTTATTATTACGGCCCTCGCCTCTGGAACGGGCTGCCGAAGGATCTCAGGGCTGCAGAGAAAGTTCATGTTTTTAAGAACAGGCTCAAGACCCACCTTTTTAGTTTAGCTTTTAACTGATTACTATTTGTTGCATTGTTTTATTTATTTATTTATTTAAATTACTGTTGTATTACACATTTATGTTTTTTTTCTATAATCACATTTTATTGGATATTTTACTATCCATATTAGCTCTTGTGATTTTACATGTTACATATTTTAATCCTTCCTCTGGGGAGCCCTCTGCCTCGGGACCGGTGGTCGGTGGCAGTGGCTGGGGTGCTCCTTGGGTAGTGCCCAGGTAGTGGTGAGGGTTGCTACCCTCCCTCCCAGGGTGCCCTGGATTGGTGTCTTGGCTGCTGCCGTCGATCTGCTGCTGTCGAGGCAGATGGCCCCCTTGATGGCGTGTCTTTCATTACCTGTCCAATCTGAGCCCAGCCTAGTGTTTACTGTGGTCTTTTAATGTGTTGTGTGTGTGTGTGCGTGCGTGCGTGCGTGCGTGCGTGCGTGCGTGTGTGTGTGTGTGTGTGTGCGTGGGAATGGTTTGTGGATTGGTGGTGAAACTGTCTTAATTGCTTTATGTGTAGAAAAGGGATGGAATGTGGGTTATATGGGTCATTTTAATCTGTCAAGCACTTTGTGTTGCTTCCTGTTTATGAAAGTGCTATATAAATAAAGTCTGATTTGACTGTCTCTTGTGTTGAGTGTGCATGTCTTGGCTCAAGTACGTAAACCCAACATGACTACTGGCTGTATTCAGATTTAAATGTCTGGATTAACAGTTCTCCTCTCTTCGCATCCGGTCGGCAACAAGATGGCGCCTGTGCTTGGCTTAACCGCGGTCAGCGGCCACTTTTTCAAACTTTTCTCCACTAACCTCCTCTTTTCCACCTTGCTCCTGTCTGTGATCCTCTTCAGTAGTGTCCCCGCTACCATCTCCTATGATCGCCAGACTCTTTTGTCCTTCCGTTCGTTCACGATCGCCCAAGATGCACCGAGGACGTACCATCCTTTTTGTTTACCTGAGCGGCGCACTGGCCCGGAACCAAACGATGATCCAGAGGTGCGCACCTCTAGCGACGTTTGTCCGGTCCCGGAAAAACGTCGGAGGAAAAGAGGTAAACGAGCAGGAATCCAGGTGAGAATAAGACTTCTCTTAAAGCGTGGTTTATCTAGTAAACATCGGCGCGATCTTCTAGCTTCTTGTCCTTTGTTTGGTGACCTGAGCGCCACTTCCGCATTCCCGCCAGGCCGCGTTGCGACGCGGTTCATCCGTCCAAGTGTGTTAAGGTCGGTTTATCCTCATTCCTCAGTGGTTTCTCCTCCTGTTCCCTCCATAAGTGGTTTTTATAAACACCATGGATCTAACCCTGCTAATTTACGTCCACTAACTCCAGCTGTTTCTGTAGTTTCTGATTCCTCCACCTCACTCAGCATGGCCCTATTAAACACCCGCTCTGTTAACAATAAGTCCTTCCTGCTCAATGATCTAATTCTGTCTAAAAACCTGGATTTTATGTTTCTGACTGAAGTTTGGCAGCAAACATCTGATTATTCTGCTCTGATTGAACTCTGCCCGAGTGGTTATTCTTTTCTTAGCCAGCCCCGGGGTTCTGGTCGTGGTGGAGGCCTAGCTGTTTTTTTCAGAGACCATCTTCCATGTAGCTCTACAACCTCTGGTCACCTTGCTTCCTTTGAACTGCAGCTGATTAAAGTCGGGCGTAAGGACCCGTTCTACTGTGCTGTGGTCTATCGTCCACCTGGTCCAAACAGTTCTTTCCTTCAGGAGTTTAGTGACTTTCTATCCTCCACTGTGAAGCTGTCCAGACTGGTGATTGTTGGTGACTTTAACATCCACGTTGATGATCCCTCTGATTGCTTTGCCATGAATTTCTCCAGCCTTATGGACTCCTTCGGCTTTACCCAGCATGTTTCTGGCCCCACACACACCAGGGGGCACACTCTAGACCTTGTTTTTACCCTGAGTCTAAATGCTGACAGTGTTTGTCCTGAGGACGTTTATATTTCAGATCACCGTTGCATTTTCTTTAACTTGTCAGTTTCTGCGTCCCCACTTCCTGCTCGCCGTATGGTTAGTTCTCGTTTTCTTAATGAGAGCACAGCTAGCAATTTTTCTGCTGCTTTTGATCCACCCTGTTCTTCTGATAACGACCCAGATTCCTTAACTTCTCAGTTTAACGAGCACTGCCTCTCCATTCTGGACAACATCTGTCCTGTCAGAACCAGATCAGTTCCTGCAGTGAACCCTACTCCCTGGTTTACTGACAGCCTTCGCAGCCTGAAGCGCCAATGCAGAAAAATTGAGCGTTTGTGGAAGAAAACCCATCTCCACGTCCATCTGCTGCACCTAAAGGATCTTCTGACATCCTTTAACTCTGCAGTCAGAGACGCTAGGGTTTACTATTTCTCCAACCTGGTGTCCCAGAGCAAAGGGAACCCCAAGGTGCTGTTTAACACCATCAGCAGCATCGTCTCTCCTGCCTCTCCTACAGCCTCCATCCACTCTGTTGCAGACTGTGAGAACTTTCTGTCTTTCTTTGTGGACAAAGTCAATAAGGATAGATCTAGCATCTCTCCTTCAGCCTTATCGCCGCCTCTCCCGACTCCAACCAGGCCCATCATCCTAGATAGCTTTGCTCCTGTTTCTTTGCCTGAGTTAACCAAACTAGTTAACTCTATGAACACCTCTGCATGCCCCCTCCACATCTTACCCTCATCTTTGTTTAAAAGTGCTTTTCAGTCCATCGGTCCCAGCGTGCTCTCTATAATTAATGCTTCTCTGGTCTCTGGTCAGGTCCCTGCTTACTTTAAGAACGCTGTAATCCACCCGCTTCTTACAAAACCGAGTCTCGACCCCTCTCTCCATTGCAGCTTCAGACCCATCTCTAAACTTCCGTTCATCTCCAAGATCTTGGAAAAGGTTGTGGCTAAACAACTCACAGCTGCTCTTGATGAACATAACATCTATGATAGCTTCCAGTCGGGTTTTCGTAGAGCTCATTCTACTGAAACAGCTCTTCTTAGGGTCTCTAATGACCTTCTGACTCACAGTGATGCAGGGGACGGTTCTGTTCTGGTCCTGCTGGACCTGACTGCAGCCTTTGACACTGTTGACCATCACCTGCTACTGGAGAGGCTGAGAGACTGGGTAGGCCTATCAGGATCTGCTCTGGAGTGGTTCTCCTCTTATCTCTCTGAGCGCTCCTTTTCTGTGGCCGTCTCCAAGTTTAGGTCCTCCACCACCTCTCTTACCCATGGTGTCCCACAAGGTTCTGTGCTGGGGCCTCTGCTCTTCCTCCTCTATCTGCTTCCTCTTCAACACATCCTGAGCTCCTTCAAAGGAATCTCCTACCATCTTTATGCAGATGACATCCAACTGTACATCTCCTTTAAGCCCCATGAGATGTCTAAGCTGCAGCTGTTACACACCTGCTTAGACTCTATCAAAACCTGGATGGTGGGAGCTTTCTTCAGCTGAATGAAGATAAGACTGAGATCCTCATCTGTGCCCCAGACAAGCTGGTTCCCAAAGTCAGAGACTCTCTTGGTCAGCCTGCTTCTCACACCAAACCCTCTGTCAGGAATCTTGGCGTGACCTTTGACCCCGCTCTCACCCTGGATTCTCATGTCAGTTCTCTTGTTGGCTCTTCCTTCTTCCATCTCAGGAACGTTGCTAAGCTGAGTCCCGTTCTGTCCCGCTCTGAACTTGAGACAGTTCTCCACACCTTCATCTCCTCACGCTTAGACTACTGTAACTCTCTTTTCACGTGTCTGAGCAGAACCTCCCTGAACCGTCTACAGGTGGTTCAGAACGCCTGTGCTCGGCTTCTGACCAAGTCCTCCAAACACACCCACATCACCCCGCTTCTCCTCCAGCTTCACTGGCTGCCAGTCAACTTCAGGGTTCATTTCAAGATCCTGGTTCTGGTCTATAGGGCCTTACATGGACAAGCACCATCTTACATTGGTGATCTTCTTAGTCCCTACACCCCCAGCAGGTCCCTGAGGTCCAGTGACTAAAGCCTACTGGTTGTGCAGCACCAGGCTAAAGGTCAAAGGTGACAGATCATCTGCTGCTGTGGCCCCCAGACTCTGGATCTCTCTCCCCCTGAGCCTGAGATCAGTGGACTCAGAGGTCTCCTTTAAAAAGCAGCTGAAGACTCACTTGTTCAAGCTGGCTTTTGTATGACCTTCTTCACCTCTCTCTCTTTATTCTGCTCTCCCCACCTATTCCACCTTCCTCAGGATCCACTGGTTTCCCTCTTTCTTGTTCACTCTCTCTCCTTCTTAACATTTTTTCTTTTAAATCACAATTGCGTATTTTTGCTCATTTTAAATATATTTTTAAACATTCTCTAAATGCTTTTTTATATTTTAACATTTTATTTTTATTTTTTGTTTTTGTGAAGCGCCTCGTGATTTTTATCTTGAGAGGCGCTATAGAAATGATATTTTCTTCTTCTTCTGAACATGAGTGGAACATGAACTGTTCTTGGGAACACAGTTCCTCTTGCTGCTAGAGACGGCAGGGCCTCCTCTTTGGCCTAAGGGAGGAAGCAGTGGAGGCCCTCAGTATGGCTTGAAGGTGATGATCAGTAAGTCTGGACCTGTACTTGTTGAAGTTCAAGGTGGAGGAGCTTATCGCACAAGTGTTCCCAAAAAGGCTCATCATCTGCTTGGACATTCGGGAAAGTTCAGAGGAGCTATGGACAGGGACAGGGACAGCGGCAGGGTAGAGGACTGAGCCAGTCCTCACATTCGCGCGCTGCTTGAGTTCCTCCTAGCCCAGCGCGAGCCCGGGCTGTGACGTCATCCTCCCAGAATGCACGGCTCCAATCCAGAGCCCAGGCCAGGCCCGAAGTCCACAAACATTTCCAAACTTGTCCCAAAATGTCGCCACGGAGAGGAAATGGATCCCGGACGAGCAGCCGGAGAGAGAGACCGTCTGTGAGTAGCTCCTCGGTTCTGTCCGCTCACCGAACCGCCGCTATGGCCCGGTTCTGCCGGGAAACCAACTTGGCTCCCGCTCACCAAACTCCGACTCAACTTGGCTCAGCTTTTGTTTTAGTAGTACGGCTCGGTCCAGCGACGGAAGCGGGTGTCCGAACCAGCTTAGCAAAGGTCGTTGTGTACCACCGAACCTAGTTTTAGCCGATCGGAACCAACCCAGGAGGTTAGCTGCGGAACTTAGCACCAGTCCGGTCTGGCATAGAACGGCTCGGTCCGGTCCGGTTTAAAGATAACAAGTGGATCTCCGTTCAGTTCCAACCCAGTCCTAGTAGAGCCCACGTTAGGGGCCTTCATTTATCCACTACTGACCGGTTACCATGGAGACAGATGTTTTCTGTAAGCATGTTTCAAGATAAATGCTGCATGACAAATCAATAAGGCTCAGCTGGATGTCTGGGTGTCTTTGGACCTCCAGAACTCCGGCTGTGATGAGATGGGTGGAGACAGAGTTGGCCAGAACCAGTAGAGGTGGTAAATATAGAACAGAGCTGCTGACCTCAGGTAGGTGTTGCTGCAGACGTCCTGCTATGGAGCTAGGATTTCATCACATGTAACTTTGGATTTGTAACTTGTAGTTCTCAACTCATACTTGTATTTCTTGCAGTGTTTCCCCTAGGAATTTTTCCAGCTGTGGTGGTGGTGGTGGTGTTGGGGGGGGGGGGGGGGGGGGCTTGGGTATGACACGTCTCACCTTTATGTTAATATTGTTTTATTTGATGCACTCCACTTTGAACTGCACCAATCCAGCGACTGCTGCATTGTAATTACTAGTATTAAAGGTGAGTACACCAATATTTGCACAAGAATAATTTCTGTTTTAAACTCTCAGTGACACACTTTGCAGGGGGGATTTGGCATTTAATTTTTCTTGGCGTCTGGAAAAACATCTTCTTTTGTCCCCTTTATTTGACTCTCTGCCCCCTTTATTTTGGTCCAAGATCATTACCGGGCTGGCCTTATTAAACACGTTCTACACCCCTGCTTAGCAGACTTAATGAAGTATTTTTAAGCCAGTATAAAAATGACAGAAACACAAATTTACATATTTGGCATTATTGACCAATATTTTTTATTTGATTTATTTGTTAAGAACATCAAGATGCATTACAGTGAACATTATAATAAGCTGGGCGGACACTGTGCAGCTTTTTCACTCGTAACACAGCTTCAGCTCAAACTGTACGACTTCAGCGCAGGGTAGATCTCACGAGTCATGTGCTCACTGTACGTCTGGTAGCAACACGTCGGACCTAAAATATGCTAAAAACAGCAGTTTTTACACAACACGTCAGACTTTTTTGTCTTGTTTTGCCTGTTGTCCTTCGGGAGTGCTGCAGGAGGACACACAGGGATTTATGGGGGTTGGATGAGGAAAACGAAATAAAGAAAGTAAATCTGTGTTTTGTGATCAGTTTAATTTGACATGAACACGACAAACACGCTTTCTTGTCAATCTTTGTGAGTAAAAAACGTGTAGAAATAAAAACGAACAGCGTGTGTTATTAGGGAAATAGCGGGCGAGCGGTGTTGATGCAGGATTGCGCATGCGCCGTGAGCGGTTCTGATACTTTTTGGGTCGCAGCTGCTCGCTGCGCCGCTTCAACAGTGCGATACCCTCACGAGGGACGAGCAAAATATTAAACACGCCAGAAGTCCATGCGACCTCACGATTGCTGATCGGTAGCTGGTCACGTGGTGTTAATCGCCTCTCGTAACCCCCTGTACACTACACCACGCTCGGCGCTAAACTCGCCCCGATCTTGTGGATTCTCGCACGAGTGGAAAATCGGCTAAAAAAAGTGAAAAAGTCGCACAGTGTACGCCCGGCTTTACTGTGTGTGTGTGTGTCTGTCTGTGTGTGTGCGTTGATGCCGGGGCCGAGCTGACGGAGCTCCCGGCTGCAGTTTTGTGTGTAGGGAGGGGCGGGCGCTCTATCTGACTGGCCAATCACAGAGCGTGAAGACAGTCAGTTACCCAATGAGGATTTCATTCAGCACGATTACAGATATTTCCGAGTTTTACACTCGTTTCTTGCTCGTATTCGTCAAAAATGCTTTATCCGTACGCTCATAGCTGTAACCACCCTGCCCTGCCTCCTCCTCCTTGCTACCTGCCGGCTGTGATTACAAGCAACAACACAGTATTTCCCGCTGCTTCTTCGGGAAACGGCGCAAAAAAAAAAAAAAAAAAACATCAATAAAACTTGGGATGTTGTAGGCGTGGCGGTGGGATTTCAGCCGTGGCGGCCCGCCACGGCTACGTCTATGTAAGGGAAACCCTGTCTTGTTTAGTAACAGGAACATTGTATTTTGTACATTTACTCATTTTGTAACATCAAACATTCATTCAGAAACATGAAACTTTCGGTTTTTACCTAGCAGACTTCCAAAATAAAAGTCAAGTTACAAGTTTGAAATCAAAACTCTCAAAACGCACATTTCATTCTACAAACCTCAAATCTACGTGTGTGCGTGCGTGCGTGTGTGTGTGTGTGTGTGTGTGCGTGCGTGCGTGTGTGTGTGTGTGTGTGCTCTGTGTTCTCCATCCTCAGTGAGTCGTGGAGGATGGCTGCTTATACTGAGCCAGGATTCTCTGGAGGTTTCTTCCTGTTAAAAGGGAGTTTTCCTCTCCACTGTCGCTGCATGCTTGCTTAGTATGAGGATTGCTGTATAGTCACTGACACTAGTCAGTGACTCGATGCAGTTTGCTGGGTTCCTTATATAGGAAACATTATTCCTGATTGGCTTAATGAACTGACCTGAATTGGAATGTTTATTATGGGAAGTGCCTTGAGACGACGCTTGTCGTGATTTGGCGCTATATAAATAAACTTGAATTGAATTACAAATCATTTTGTCTCGATTCTAGCGTCAGTGGGAGGAACTTGGGTGGAACCAATGAGAGCACGAGTCTTAGCTACCAATCACGTTTCTCAAATTCCTGTCCAATCATTGGGAGAGGAGGGCAGAGTTCCGTCAGAGCTGTAGAGAGAGTTACGACCATAGACTCCTATGGAAAGAACGGAATGCGGGAGTCACGTGGTTCATGCAGCTTCGAATAGCTCCAAACAGCCCCGCTGCTGCATCGACCGTAGTTCATTTTCGGTGTTTCGGAAGGATTTTCTCCGGTAAGTTGATGAAATGTCATCATTTTGTTGCGTTGTGAAGCGTTAGCTAACCGCTTAAGCCAACGATGAGATTTTATGTTGCCTGTTTCAGCTAGATAACCTTTAATGAGCTAACTGTGTGCAGCTTGTTGGTTGTGAGCAGGAGGACGAGCTGTAGATGGGTTCATTTCAGTTTGTTTGATTCTACATTTTAGAAATATTCCCCACAGTTTGAAATAGGTTATAAACTTTTTACATTATTAGTTTAATTTGGGATTTTTTGTACAATACGTTGCTGTATCAACACGAACATGCATCAGAAACGGAAGCACAAGTGGAGAGACCAATAATAAAGAAAATGTGATTGTGAAGACAAGTAATTATTTAATATTTTCAGTTAATAACACTGACTGCAGCGAACTGCTGAAGCATGAGACAAACAGGATTACGAACGTAAGAAGACATGTTGTTCTGTTTTGTGGACTCAAGTAATAAGAATAGATTTAAGATAATTCAAGAACAGTAGTCGAACAATAACTTTTAAAAATTAGACATTTTCCATAAAACTGCTCATTTCCACTTGCTTTATAATATCAGCATTTGCAATTTTGTTATTAAGGAATGAAAGACAAGAAATAAGAATTAACAATAACACAATTATCAATAAATAAATGTCAAAGAGTAACTAAAACAAAGATCTTATGTAACCATTAAAGGTTAAACTGTGTCATGTGTCCATCTTCATGCTTTCATAGAGGCTGAGCGGAGAGCTGACCAGGAACAACGGTGGTGGCAAATCCCAGTTGGGTCTGTGATGGAGTGATGCACGCCTGGAGTGATTACCATCTCATCCACAGTAAGCACACACTCTCTTTCCATCTCTGTCAGATTTTTTACCTTCAAACTGAGCATGTCACACACCTCTCCTAACACACCTGGTTCCAGTTTAATGGGCTGCATTTGACTGTGCAGGGTTCTAACACCAGGCAGAGGGACACTCGTGTCCTGAAGAAACCTGCAGCCTGTTGAACCCACTGAAAAACCGAGTTGTACCTTTTTGATTGTCTGTTTACTCCATTTAATGCCTCTTGAGTTTTTCATGCCTTTTTGACTTTCTATTTCCTCCCTTAGGTTTTCCAGCTGGGTTCCCTGGTTGCATCGCCTGTTCCTTTCTCCTCCTGGCCCTGACGCCGGCTCCTCATGGCTTCCTGGGATGTCCCTCTGTCCTGATACCATCTCATGTCCCCCCTCACTTTCCCTCATCTCATTTGCTTCACTGCTGCTTTCCTCATTCTCTGAAATCATCAGATCAGCCCTGAGTCTTGCCTTGCCTTGCCTAGTCTTAGTAACCTGTCCCTCCTCTACATGTGCCTGTAGAGTGGTGTATTAGTTTATTTCTTGCCACATTTAACAGTTTAATTGCAGCCTTGTGCAGCTGAGAGCAGAACATGTAGAGCCTTGATAGTGTAGCGTTATGAAGCTTATAATGGTCTGCCCTTAACAGCTGCCCCTTCACACAGTAACATCACCAAGGTCGGACGCTTGGTTCAGTATGTTTACATTCCAGGAGAAGAGACAGAAGAACAGAAGAAGAACGCTTTTGAGTACATTGCTCATAATTAATGATTCAGCTTATTTGTTCATATATAATGACTAATCATAATGTTGGTAAAATGCTTTATTAAAAATACTATTATACATGTTGTACAAGTTTGGTGTTCATTTTTTCCACACTTAGCACTTTTTTATCTACTGTGATGAACCATACAGTTTTATTGAAGTTTTATTTGTAATTAGTTGCTATAGAAGCCAGATAAACTGGGTTATAGAT